TAAAGTCAATTAGAGGCAGCATTTCAAGGGCTAAGATCAGATCATTTGATAACATGCACCTGTCTTGTCAGTAAAATAGCCCACTGTTAATTAATAAATATAACTTAGTAAGATTTCAGATTTAGTATCTCTTTTCACTTAGTTTTTAAAAAGTATTTATTTGCAATAATTAATACATAGTATCTTCAAATATGCAATATTATGTATAGATAATTTTTAAAATTTCATATGGTGTTTTTGTCCAGTAGTTACAAATATGTATTTGAGAATGAAGAACCACTGACTCATTTATCCATTCAAAAATTCATTATTCATTATTCACTAGGTGCCATAGTATTTTGTGCAAAAGTACAAGACAGGCTGTGGAGATACAAAGGTGAAATGACATGTTCCCTATTGTCTTATGTATCGTCCCTTGGGAAAACAATGCCAAAAAAATTACTACATATAAAAAGCTAAAATGGTGCAAAAATTGTGGGAGATCAAAGGAAGGACTTCTAGAGGGAAACCAGAGGAACTATGAAAAAATTTTAAAAGATAAATATTTTAAATACTAAATATTAAAAGGACTGATGGAATTTATTTCACTCTTGAAAGTCACGCTGTTGTGGGCATTTGTTAATTGTGCCCCCAGCACTAACACAGGCCATTTTCAGCCATGGGTTTGGGTGAGGCTGCCTACATGCAGATCCAGAGATAGGCCCTGATTAGTTTAGGTATAACCTATACTCATAAAGATTGGTTCAGGAATGGACATATGATGAAGATATGACTGTTAGAACATCTAGGAGGGAAAAAAGGCTGGTGCTTCATAACAAGATTGTTTGCTCGTTTGTTTTTTGTTTTACCTGAACAAGGATGAGAAAAGGATGAAACCCTAGGATCTGTCTGCAGCCACCTTTGACCAATGAGAAGAGACTCTACCTGAAAGAGGTGTTAGCACTAAAGAGGCAAAGCAGAAAAATGGAGAGAACTGAGCTCTGGTCACATCACTGAGTCCAGAATCAAATCATGCTTCACGGTATATGGGCAAACAAATTCCTTTTATTGTAACCAGATTGAAATGTGTGGTCTATATCTCTCAACCTATAGTACTAACCCATTTAAAATTTAATATAATTGAAATCTAGGGTAATGCATTTCTCTGAACGCCCCCTCCCCCCCAGACCAACAAGCATGTTCAATATCAACTTAAACATCCCAAATGATGCAAAGCGTTATAAAATATATCCAATATCATGTTACACATAGAGCTGTGGCACAAAACAACTCTTTCCAGAGCAAATCTATATGTAAATGCCTGCTAAAGTGAGAACTTAACCTACCATTCTAAGGTGGGACATAGTGCCCCCGCTTTCATACATTTTGTCTACTCTAAGGGCAGAGAATTTGAGAAGAAATGAACACACACTAGAATAAGGGTCAAGCCCTGAGGAGGCTTTTTAAAACAAGAGACACGATGAATGAAAGTTACTTGGAGTGAAGTGACACTGATGGAGTGAAGTGACACTGACTCTGAAGTATAAAGATCAAATGAAAATTGGGGGGGAAGATAATCTATTCAATGTCTAAATGATATTAAATATTAATGATAATTAGTAAAATTAATTATAAATTAAAGATTAAATTATTAATAATTACCAAATATTTGGAAATTACTAATTTTTAGATACTTTCTCATCTCTTTGAATTATACAGATTTCCAAATCTGATTATATTTTAAAGATGTATCTATAAGAATAAACACATTTGTAACATGTGAATAGTACAAAAGAGATTTCTCAGACTAAATGCTCAAAGGCCTTGATTAACCAGGATGATTTCTAAACCTGTGACTAGAAGAGATAGGGGGAAAAGGTTCTGGTTAATTCCATGACCTGCCCTATTAAGTAGTCTGAAAACCATTTTTATATTTGTTTTAAAATTTTTTAATTGTAACATAGTTGATTGTACATATCTGTGGGGTACAGAGCTGAATATCAATACTTGTGTGCAATATGTGATGCTCAGATCAGGATAATTAGTATGTTCAGTATACAATTTAATCATTTTTCATGTCCCTTTACCAATTAGACATTATACAATTTAATCATTTTTCATGTCCCTTTACCAATTCCTTCCTCATCCCTCCTCCTTTACATCTTTTTTTAATTACTGTTTTTAAATTGTGAAATAATTATAGATTCACAAGAAGTTGCAGATAAGTACAGGGAGGTTCTGTATACCCTCACCCTGTTTCCCCCAATGCTTACATTTTACCTACTTATGGTACAATATGAAAACCAGGAATTTGGTATTGGAACAATGTATATGTTAGTTCTATGACATTTACACATGTGTGAATGTGTGTAACCATCATGGTCAAGACACAGAACTATTCAATTACCACAAAGATCTCCCTTGTTCAACCCATTTATAGGCACTTCTACCTTCTAATCGCAACCAAAACAAAAGTTTCAAGTAACACTACTTACTCTGCCTAGGTAAGATGGCTCTATTTATTTTCTATTTAAATCTGGTCTAGTCTATTTTATTTCTGTAATTGCTGTCCCCACCCTTTGATGCCATGGCCTATTAGTAGGTCCTGATCCTCAATTTTAAAAACAGTACAATAAGTGAGAACCTCCAAATTTATTCCCTTTGAGATTTTGGTTTGGGGGGAAAAACCTGACTTACAGTGAATTCTCTTTTCTAACCACAGCTGCTCATTTTTGGTGATTTCAACTTTGGTCTCACCCTTCCATAGCTTTTCTTAGCCTTTGAGGTTTTAAACTCTTCTCAGATCACGAAGCAGTCTCCAGACCTAACTAATTTATTATTCCAACGCAAAGAAAATAGATTTGCTAAATAAATTCCAATTTATTAATTCACCATGAGATTTATAATAAACCAATGGGGTTTGTTTCAATCAGCTCCTACTAAGAAAATCAAAATACTATTGCAGTAGAGTTGCATGGTAAATGCGCATACCATAAAAGGTGATAGTCTATGATGGCTTGGTCACCCTTCTTCTGTACAACTGAGGAATATACTTTTGCCCTCAAGGATCAATTCCTAACAAAATGGCTACTCTTCGACCCTCCTTTTCTTGAAACCCAGGCTGGGGTAGAGAATAGTGGTGGTGTTAATTTAATTCTAACACCTGAAATTACCTCCTGGGCTTGCGCTAGTTTTCTCAAGTTCAACTTTGTGGGGGTATCAGGATAACGTTCATCTTTCAGACAGGAAATACAGTTTTAGTTTAGATTTTGCAAATACTTAGCAACATAACAACAGCTCCTTTTCTTTTTCGGTGTGCAGTTTTCTCTTTGGCCGTCATTCAGGTTGGGCCAAAGAACCAAGCCACAAAGGCTCCTCTTGTGGCTTTATTCCTACCACATATTTATTACCTGTAAACACTCAGCCTCTTCTGGACAGGCCCACGGCCGTAATTAACAAGCCTCGGGTATACGGGTCACTTTCTGGGATCTTAACATTTATGACGATTATGATCTCGTCTAGTTTGACGTGAGAAAAAAATGTCCACCTTTCACTTCAGAAGAAAAACAGAATAGTTTAGAATTTAGGTACAAAGATGTGGAAAGAGCACAGTCTTCCCCGTCCCCGCAACCAGCTGGAGCCTCTTCACCGACCGTCCTCGCAGCGGCGGCTCGGCCCGAGGCCCGGGCTCAGGGTCGCTTGAAAACCGGCCACAGTTTCGCGTTCCGGACAACGGGTTTTACCAAATATCTGTCTTGAGTATAAGTGTTTACTCGTTTTCTGATCAGCGTCCCAGCTAGACTCTGGTCGCAGCGAGGGACCCACTACCACTCTGTGTGTGTGCGTGTGCGTGTGTATGCGTGGTGTGTGTGTCTGTGTGTGTGTTTGTGTGGGCGTGTGTGTGCGCCACTGCCCTCTCCTTCTTTCCTTCGACCATAACGGAGCATAAGAAACTACAGTTGGAAACTACAGCCAGTTGTTAATATTCCTGGACACTCTTGAGCTTTATTTTCCTTCTGTTTTGCGAACTTCACAATTGCTTGTTAGCACCAATATCTAAACTTATCATTTCCCTTCACGGTTTCTAACAACTCGGACCACATGAGTTTAAAGGTAGCATATTTATGTTTTTATTACCTTTACAAAAGAAACATTGAGATGAAAAGAGAGGGAAACCGAGTCCATAGTAAAGACCGAAAAGTAATATGAAATTAACCCATGTAATAAGCTGTGTGTGCGCGTGTGTGTCTGTGTGCGTGTGTGTGTCTGTGTGTGTGTGCGTGTGCTGTGTGTGGGTGTGTCTGTGTGCGTGTGTCTGTGTGCGTGTGTCTGTGTGCATGTGCGTGTGTGTGTCTGTGCGTGTGCTGTGTGTGGGTGTGTCTGTGTGGGTGTGTCTGTGTGCGTGTGTCTGTGTGCATGTGCGTGTGTGTGTCTGTGTGCGTGTGTGTGTGTGCGTGTG